TTTGAAAGTCAGAGAAACAGAAAGAGAGCTCTGGCATTCACTGATTCACTCCCTAAATGCCAGCAATAGCCAGGGCTGGGCCAGGCTGAAGTCAGGAGCCAGTAAGTCCATCTGGTCTCCACATGAGTGGCAGGGGCCTAAGTATATGAGCCATCTTTTGTTGCCTCCCAAAGTACCCATTAACAGGAAGCTGGGTTCAGAAGCAGAGCAAGGACTTGAATCAGGCACTGTGATACGGGATGCACACATTCCACTGGTTTCTGTGTCTGAATCTTCCCCCGACTTCTTCCTCCACTCGACCTCTTTTGTTTGAAAAATCTCCCATTAAGCAAAGCTTGCCTTCCACTTAGAGACTGAGAATGCTAGAAATACAATTTTTCAGTCTTCCTTGTAATTAGGACACAAACAGTTAGGATGCATAGAGTAGGTGCTGCCAGTCAGATGTAGCTGCTCAAGGCATTAAGACAAGTGGTTCAGGAAAGCAGAAAAGAACTAGCTGTCGCCAAGGACAAGAGGCAGCGTGATGACAGCTTTAAAAGCGGTACCCAGTGATGGGATGTTGCTGGTCCGGGTACTATCCATAGTCAGTGTTTGCACTGACAGCATCACCACTGGACCAGTGAAAAGCTTCATTTCTGGTATATGGTCTCTGAAGTCTCCATGTAGAATCTGGAAGGTACTTATCATCTTTTTAATGAATTTATTTCCCATATACGCTGTTGGAGTCCAATCTATATCTTACAACTGAGGACTCTGCCTGTCACAGTATCTTTGAAACAGACCCCGTTGTGGTGTTGTTTTGCTTATCTTTCGTCAAATGAGCGATTATCTGTTATTCTTGTATGGTGGACCCTTGTTTCCATGCAGTCCACTTGGGGCCTGGTCAAATCCACCCCCAGAAGAGAGCTAGACATCATTTTCTACTTCTGATTTAATCCTTCATGTCTTCAGGCTTTCAGGCTGTGCCGGTCCGTCTGCTGGAGCTGGGATTTTCTAACCAGAAATCGAGGTGTAACTGGGGGAGGAACAGCTACCCATTACTCTGTCAGGGGCAGACCTTGCCCAGAGGCCCGGAGTTTCTTCACCCGTTCAATCTGAGAACTAGACTAAATGGGTTTCTAAAAGCTACATATGGGGCCGGCGCCGCGGCTCACTAGGCTAATCCTCCGCCTTGCGGCGCCGGCACAACGGGTTCTAGTCCTGGTCGGGGCACCGGATTCTGTCCCGGTTGCCCCTCTTCCAGGCCAGCTCTCTGCTGTGGCCAGGGAGTGCAGTGGAGGATGGCCCAAGTGCTTGGCCCTGCACCCCATGGGAGACCAGGATAAGTACCTGGCTCCTGCCATCGGATCAGCGCGGTGTGCCGGCCGCAACGCCCCGGCAGTGGCGGCCATTGGAGGGTGAACCAACGGCAAAGGAAGACCTTTCTCTCTCTGTCTCTCTCTCTCTCTCTCTCTCACTGTCCACTCTGCCTGTCAAAAAAAAAAAAAAAGCTACATATGGAGGAGGGCATTGTGGCACAGCAGTTTAAGCTTCTGCTTTGAATGCCTGTATCCCATATTCTGTTTATGCATGCTGATTCATGCCTTGGCTACTTCACTTACTATCCAGCATCCTGCTGAATGCACCTGGGAAGGCAGTGGATAATGGCCAAGTACTAGGCTCCCTAATACATACATGGGAGACCCAGATGGAGTTCCAGGTTCCTGGCTTTGGCCTGGCCCAGCCACAGCTGTTACAGGCACTTGGAGAGTGAACTAATGAATGGAAGCTCTTGCTCTCTCTCTCTCTCTCTCCCTTTTTCTCTCTGGCACTCTTGTCTTTCAAATAAATACATAACAGATAAATAGATAAACCTTCAAAAAAGTTACGTATGTGCATATATATGTAGGTTGACCCACAGGTGATAAGACTGGCCAGGAGCAGGAAACAAGCTAGTGCAATGCCAATCCCACTGCGTAGAACACCCTGTGCACTGGATCTGGGTGGCTTATCCCTTGATCAAGAGTCCTTTGGGTAAAATCAATGTCCAGGATAGATCACCTGCTTCTCCTCTGCGCCCTCCTGCTATTTTCTGTTCCTTTCTTGAACAGTCTTCACCTCCCTATATTCATTCAATTTTGCCATTTCTCTTTTCACCTCCCTCATAAGGTCATCTATTCTTACCTCCACTTTCTATGTTCAGATCATAGTTAACTATTTTTAGCTTTCTGATCTTACCATGATCACACAATTCTGTCTTTACATGCATTGTTCCCTTTGCCTAGAGTATTCCTTATGGCCCTAAATTTCTTCACGTAACTAACACCTACTTTCTTTTTAGGTCTTATTTTACCTAGTATTTCTTTTAGCCAATCTTCTTTGCTCTTACATCCCCAAAGACCTGGGTACAACTCCTATAGACTCTCATAACAATTTTTTAAAGATTTATTTATTTATTTGAAAAGCAGAGTTAGAGAGAGGCAGAGGCAGCGAGAGAGAGGTCTTCCATCTGCCGGTTCACTCCCCAAATGGTTGCAATGGCCAAAGCCAGGCAGATCCGAAGCCAGGCTGATCCGAAGCCAGGAGCCTGGAGCTTCCTCTGGGTCTTCCACGTGGGTGCAGGGGCTCAAGGATTTGGGCCATCTTCTGCTGCTTTCTCAGGCACATTAGCAGAGAGTTGGATTGGAAGTGAGCAGCCAGGTCTCAAACTGGTGCCCATACAGGATGCCAGCACTGCGGGCAGCAGCTTTAGCTGGTACACCACAGCACTAGCCCTGCTCATAATAATTTGGCTCAATTTGATATCATTCACAGATATCATTTTTTTTTTGATGGGTAGAGTTAGACAGAGAGAGAGACAGAGAGAAAGGTCTTCCTTCTGTTGGTTCACCCCCCAAATGGCCGCTACAGCTGGTGCACTGTGCCGATCTGAAGCCAGGAGCCAGGCACTTCCTCCTGGTCTCCCATGTGGGTGCAGGGCCCAAGCACCTGGGCCCTCCTCCACTGCCCGCCTGGGCCACAGCAGAGAGCTGGACTGGAAGAGGAGCAACTGGGACAGAACCGGGACCCGACCAGGACTAGAACCCGGTGTGCCGGCGCCGCAGGTGGAGGATTAGCCTAGTGAGCTGCAGCACCGGCCTACAGATATCATTTCTATAGTAACTGAGTAGGTAATTGTAAGTTCAATCAACCTATAGCAACCCCCTTGGCTATGTCTCATTTCTTGTTGTATCTCTAGTATTTAGTCAAGTACCTGCTTTACACCAGGTACTTGGAAATGCTTGTGAGATAATAAAAGAATAATTAAAAATAATTCATCCACATTTTGAACACCTACTCAACTTCAAAATACACCTTCTGTATTAATAGGTACTGAAGAAAGGTTTACTTGAACAAATCTTGTGCTATAGTAAAACAAAAAATTCAACTACCTAAATTGGGCCACTTTTGAGAGTGAAAGGTAATGCTATTAATAATTATCCCATGACAATAGGCATAAGTTGGGACCACTGAAGCAACTTGGATGTATGGTTACCCTATTTGACTAAGAACACATCATGCTGGACCATTGCTAATTCTGATTCAGACTCTGATTTAAGACTGGGTTAGGAAGCATTCTGGGCACTATACCCATTCTCTAAAAGGTCAAGTGAGTATGAAAGATTATCATCATATAGTCAAATACCCAACAGTGAGTGATTATCATCTCGTAGCTAAATATTAAGCAGTGAGTTACTGATAAATAAACTGCCCGTGATTCTTAATTTTCTTTATTCTTTACCCCAATGAATGTTACTTGCATTTTGATTATGTGGGGGCACACACCATAGGAGACATTGTAATTTATATAATTTTTTGAACTGTAACAATTAGTCATCATAAAATGGAAGGAAACAAATTCAAATCTGTAGCTTCTTACATCTGCCATGGTGATCAAGCATAATCCTTTAAACGTAATCAGAGGTAGGAATAAAATGTCAAAGCCATGTACTTTAAAGAATTTAATTGGAGTTTCAGTCATCATCCCACTTTTTTCCTTAAAGAAAAGCACTCAGGGAATTTAGACATCAGTTTAGTAATCCTCACTTGAAAGCTGTGTGCTATAAAGCTATCCACATTCTACTTGGGGAAATCAAGGCTTAATATATATTGAATTTGGGTCAGTTTTTGGCTTACTTGATTTATTCTTGTCAATTTAAGGGTCAAATTAAGGGTCAGACAGACCAGTTGAGAACATTGGGGTTAACTTAGAAGCACTGAGTAGGGAAAAGAGTGTCAGAAATCATGAACTCTGATACCAATACTTCTGTACACTTCCATAGTGTGTACACTTTTCAGTGTACTTTTATACTTATTTTTTGGCAAGTTTATTTATATTTATTTGAAAGGCAGAATGAGAGAGGTAGAGGGGGAGAGGGAGCCATATCTTCCATCTGCTGATTCAGTCCCCAAATGTCAACAACAGACAAGACTATACAGCAGGGGCCCAGGTACTAGAGGCATCACGTGTTGCATCTCAGGGTGTGCATCAGCAGGAAGCTGGATCAGAAGCAGAGGCAGGACTTGAACTCAGGACATCCCAAAGCAGCAGCACAACCTGCTACAGCACAGTGCCCACATCAGCATTATTTTATTTGATACACGCCTTAGAGATACAGAGGGACGTGGTGGTGGTGGGGTCTCCATCTGGTAGATGAGTAAGTGAATGAATGAGAGAGGTTCAGGGGGATGAAATGACTTGTCCAGGGTCATATCTTTATTAACAAAGTTGGGACTAGAAACCAGTCACTTATCTCTGAGCCTGAACATCCTCTCTGAGCTGTTCTATGATTGAGTGCTATGTCTTGACCTTAGCTCCATGGGAAACCTACAGAAACACGGACAATCCTACTTGGCATTTATGAATGCCGTCACAACCATTCAAACTGCTTATATTTCTGCTCAGGAAATCCTGAGAGGTTACTATTTTCTCCCTGCCTGACTGCTATGTATTATAGGCAGAGAGAAAGTTCCTAACAAACCTGCTGAAAGGAAGCAGCTCCGGCAGCCCGAGCCATCTCAGCACTTCAAGTTACAAGCTGTAGCCACGTGGGTGATCTGGAATAAAAAGATATCCAGATGAACAAGCCTACAGTGTTTCACAAGTCAGGTCAAGAAATACCACCTGCCTGACGCAGACTTTGTAATGTTCAGATGAGGGTGCAAATGCCAGCCCCTTTGGTTTAACATATCATTTTAGGTCCTCGGTTTACTTAAGGTCACAAGCCAGCAGACTGACCAAAACATATTTATTACTGATTCTGAAAACTGTGTAAACTTTGTGCCTAAATCCACGTTGGCTCGATTCTTCCAAAGTCACTGAAGAAAGTAGGTATAACATCATTTTTTTTCTCCTAAAGAAAAGACCTAGTCCTCAACAAAAGGAGAAAATAGTCACTTTGTAAGTCTGATGATGTAGTCTTTTTTTTTTTTTTACATCAAAAACATCGTTTCTTGTTATATATTGCGGTGTCAAGAACAGAGAAGAGGCAAATCTTTCGTAAACTGTTTTATTATCATTAATGCTGCATTTACTAAAGCCCACCACCACTATTTATTGAATCAGGTTTTCTCCTCTTTTCCAAAGGCAGATGCTCATCTGGTTGGCCTGGAGTCCCTGTCGTCCAAAGGGCAAGTTTGCATCCCACATTGGTACTTCACCTTGGGGGGAGAACTGTGCAACAGGATGCACCAAATGTTAGAACTGTCATGTGTGCTTAGTTTATCCTGGAAAAAGAGGACTCTAGGAATTTAGACATTTTAAATTTGATATAACACTGCCAAATAATCATAGTTTAATCCCATGTCTGTTCTTATAGTGGAACCATATCCTCAATTAATTAATAAATGTGAGTATGCTCAACGTTAGTGCTCAAAGGGCACCTGGTGACACAAGACGAATATTAGACCTCTCTTCTTGCTCCTTCTGGTACCTGTGCAGAGTCATAGTCTGAGATAACACAATCAATCTTGCAGAAAGAGGGCATCAGTCGAGTTGCTTTTCTAGCCAAGATGAAGGATCCACTCACTCAGTAACTCACTCCCTGGACAACATTTGGTTATAAGTGTCAGATATCGCCTTGGCTATCGGGAGGAGAAATGAACATGGCATGAATCCTGGTGTAAAGGATATGACGTTTGGGAGATCGAACGAATGAAAAATTATAATGCAATAGAATACTCAAATATATACCTTTCTTAGGAGATAGAAAAATTATTTTTCTATCAATGGAGGCGTTTGGAAGGAAGGAAGATTCCTTGAGAGATGCCTATAACAAGACAGGTGGGCTCTGCACTTGTGAAGATGGACCTGGGAGATTCTTTCAGGTTCGGAGGAGGAAACTGAATGAAGAAAGCCCAGAGACAGGAAATCAAAGAAGGGGTGGCACACTGTCGGGGGCTATGGAAGGTGCCAGAGGTGCAGCCTATAATTGCAAAAATCCTACTAGGACTTGGTCATGGAATGAGGAGAGGCAGCCAGAAGGTTTGGGTTAATTTGGTTGATTATTATGGAATTTTCACAAGTTTTTTTTTTTTTTTTTTTTTGGCATGCTATACTTTGGAAAAATGAATTTAGTCTCTTGGTAGAATGTAACATCAAACTGAAAAGCCGGGAGAGTACTAGAGAACAGTAAACCCAAGGATCTCACTCTATCGATAAAGAGACTGAGCCCAGAGAGGAGATAACTTGTCAAGAGTTGCACAGCAATTTTAGGACAAGAGAAGGACTGTAACCCTTTGTTTCTGTGCCCTCCCCGTGCTAGCCTTGTTGTTGCTCCCAAATGATTGGGCTCCTCTGAGTCTTCATCTCCCTTTCCCATTTATCTAGTTGCATACAGACCTCATCTCTTGATGAAGGTGTCTGATTTTATTTAAACTCGGGCCCGACACCTTCCCTCTTCTTCTGCCTTTGACAAAGAGTAAGAAAAACAGAACAAAAATCATGGGGCCGGTGCTGTGGCGTAGCAGGTAAAGCTGCCGCCTGCAGTGTTGGCATCCAGCTCTCTGCTATGGCCTGGGAAAGCAATAGAAGATGGCCCAAGTCCTTGGGCCCCTGCAGCCACGTGGGAGATCCAGAGGAAGTTCCTGGCTTCGGATCGGTGCAGCTCCAGCCATTGTGGCCAATTGGGGAGTGAACCAGCGGATGGAAGACCTCTCTTTCTCTCTCTCTGTGCTTCTTCTCTCTGTGTAACTGACTTTCAAGTAAAATAAAATAAATCTTTTTTTTTTTTTTAAAAGAAGACAAAACAAAATCAAAAACCCAAACAGCAGGATGCTTACAATGACCAAGGCAGGCAGTATGATAACAACTCAGACACACATTAGACTCTTGGTCCAGAAAGAGACAAAGGTGAGGTAACCAGCTGCACCACCCAGGGCCTACGGACTGAAGTTACACAGAGTGGAGGGAGTGCTCTGTGGAGGCCATGAGAAGGCTGGAGATGGCAGCAGGGGGTGGGAGGGATATTCAAGAGGAGTCTGAAGAGTGTGAGTGTGTTAGGGTTGCCAGGTGAATGGAGAAGCCTGCTCCTGAAAGAGGAACTTGTGCAAAGGCGGATAAACACGGAGAGGTAGGGTGTGCTCGAAAACTCTAGAACTTCAACTGGCAAGAGGGAAGGGGCGTGAGAAGGATAGAAAGATAGAAGCAAGTAGGCCACAAACCACGAAGGGCTGTGTGAACCACACTAAGGAGTCTGGCCTGATGGGATTGAAGCTGGGGAGAAGCAACTTCAGATGGGTACGCACTCTCTATGTCCCATAGACCTCTTGTCCTTATTATTCCTCTAGTAGTCTCTTCACAGCTTTTTCTCTTGGTCCATAGCTTTTCCTCTTGGTCAGCTGAAGGAGATCATGAGCTCCTCACACTGGAGTGTTCAAACTGAGACCAGATGGTCACTCAGCAGTAGGCAGGCGAGCTGCCAGGATGCCAGGGCTCAGGATGGAATCTCAGCTTACCAAAGTACTAACCCTGTGTTAAGAGCAAGCTGCTTAACCTTTCCAAGGCTTGCTTCCTTATGGACAAAACAGGGACACAGGAATGCCGACTTTAGAAGGGTTTTGTGAGGGTTAAGTGAATTGCATATGAACAATTCGAAGATTATTGCCTGGTATATTATAAGCACTCCAAAACAAGGACAGGCATGAGCGATGCAAAAGCCTTTGGGGACTGGAATGGATTCAGGAATGGTGAGACCACAGCCAAGTTGGCCTGAAAGTCTTTTGTGCCATCACTGGACCAATGAGAACGCAGCCCTTGGCCCTTGGCCCACCAGTGTGCCATCCACAGACTACATGCCACCCACCCTCCTTGAAATTCTGCGCTTCATTTAGTCTCTGAACTGGTAAACTTTTTCTCTATCATCAAGTCCGCAAAAATGACACACGCTGCCTTTCAAGTTCAAGCCCACCAGAGCAAGTGTTAATAGGATGTTGAGAAAGAGAGGGCAAAAGAGACCAGAACAGCAAATGAGAATGTGGCTTTGGGTTTGGGGCTGGCACTGGTGCAACACTGTATGTAGTTCATCAAGCATCCAATTTATGACTGCGTAGCTTGTACTCCTGGTGAGTGCCTCACAAGTCAAAATTATCTTTTGTGATTCCCTTTATGTAATGCTCACACTAACACCATGCCTACATGAGCCAGTCATACAGATTTCAGGAGTTGAAATATTTCAGTGATCTTCCCCAGCACACTCATACAACAGTTTCAACATAATTAGTAGAATCTTTGGATCCGACACAGCACTCTTATAATGTGTATGATGGAGGAAATGAATGACTCTAATTATACCTTATTAAATTTTATTAATCCTCATTAGAACCCTATTATTCTTTATAAGTGTGTTGCTGGGGAGAGGAGAGGAAGAAATGCTGGTCAAATCCGTTATATCTAACAAGGATTGGGTGAGTCCGCTCTTATTTCATGAGATAACTGGGATCTTTTCATACTAAACCATAGCACTGAGGACACAGGTTTGCCGAAACATCTGCTACAGTGAATGGATTGGGTTGTAACAGGATCTGATCCTACTGCCCTGGAACAGAATCTCTTGAAGAACTCATAGAAGTGTTTGCCATTTCAAATCATGTTTGCTGCAAAGAAAGCAACAGTATTTCATTACGCTGTGGAATGGGTGCATCCTCACCCTTGCCCTTACACTACATTCATATGTTTTATGTGTAGATGAGCAAATTGACAGGGACAAGGAGATTAATTAGAGCCCAGAAGCGCCTGAACTCAAAGACTGCACAAAGCGGGCTCCCTAAGGCTGAGAACACGTGTGTTTACATTCATTGCCTTAATTCTGTCAAAAGAATTCCACCAAAATCTAACCTAGGAAGAATCACGCTTGGAATCTCCATGACTAGGTAACCTATGCTGTATTCTCTCTATTCCTGCCTGGAAGCAGGCAGTGCTGGGGGTCAGGGCCAGGTGCATGGTGGAGAGAGTGTAGGATTGGCCAAGGGACCAAGGTTTGTGTTGGGCGAGTCACTGACTTTAGTGTTTGCCCCAAATGCAGAGGGAATCACACCTTGATCTCACTCACCTGAAGATGCGGTTGTTGTGTGGGTGAGAATGGGTACATTAAGATGTGCTGAGGTGAGGAATTCTTATTTTAGGTATTGTCAGGAGAGAACGAGAAGGGAAGGAAGTCTCGGGTCTCGGAGCACCTTCCAGGAAATGGCTGCCACACATTATAACCGCTTGACATAGTTAATGGAGGTTCTCATCGTGGCTCACATTCACAAATGTCAGACGAAAAAAACCCGACGCCAGCCTTCCAAGAACAGGCTTGTCTTTATTCAAACCAGTTCCCCCAGTTCTTGGGCTGTTTCTGAAGCCATAAGCACAGAGCAGGTTTTCTGGGCTTCCTGGAGGGGCTTTAAACATTCAACTCCAGGGGCTCCTTTACTTACGTGCTCTGCAGTACTGACTGTCAATGGTACTCAGGGCTCGCTGGCAACCAGGACCTTCCAGGAACTGGCTGCTGGGCCAAGGGCAGTCTGAAATCACTTCTCTGGGTGGTCTACACTGCCTGGTGACACCCAAGCCAGATCCCTCTAGAGTCGGCCCTGCCGGTCTGGAGGCAGGAACCAGCTGCGGGACAGAGCAGCGGGTCTGCTCCCGCATTCCAGGCGTGAACGACCCTGAACAAGTCGTCTCTTTTCTGAGAGCGTCAGTTGCGACTTGCATGGGTTGCAACTTGGTCTTTGGCAGCTCTGACAGCCTGTAAGTTTGGAGCCGAGCTGGGAAGCCAGGGAGGGGCGGGGGGAGCAGGAAACTGGAAGGCGATTCCACGGCCGGATCTTTTCCGCTCGGGCTCAGCGCTCTCCTCTGGCGCCCGAACAGCAGCCCCTGGCTCCCCCGTTTCTCCAGCAGCCCCTTGACTGGGCCGCTTCCTCCTACGTCTCCTTCCTCTTCCTCCGAGCCTCCACACCTCCCTCTTTCCCTTCCTCCTTTGCAAGCTCCCTGCATTCCCGCGTCTCCTCCTCTTCCTCCCAGGAAATGCACTGCCCTCGGTGCGCCCACCTTTTGGCAAAGGCACTGCCCGCTGCGGCGCCCCCTCCCCCGCCGGGCGGACGCTGCGCGGCGGCCCCGCGGGCACCCGCCTTCCCATACCTTACATGGACAAATGCGTGCAGGCAAAGTCAGGAATTCAGGCCCCTGACGTCAGCCTCCAGCGCTCAGGGCACCGCACGGGAGACCGAGGGGAGGGGGTGGGGACGGTGGGGAGGAAGGAGGGGGAAAGGCACCAACCAGCAGCCGCTCCAGCCCTGTCGAAGTTTCACTTTTTGTCTGTGGGTTCGCTCCCGGGCCCCGCGCGAGCTTTCCCGGGATAAGTAGCTTTAGCGAGCGGCACAGAGCCGGGCGCCGCAAGGTAAGGGCTGGCTGCACCGCCCGGGGGTGCGGGACGCGGAGCGCGGGCGGCGCGCTCGCTGGGGCCGGTGCGGGGCGCGGGGCCGGGCCTGTCCGGGGCCGGGGACAATGGGAGGGGGAGTGCCCGGGCACCTCCTCCTCCGCCTCTGCCTCCGCCTCCAGCCGCCGCCACCGCCGCCGCTGCCCGGGCTGCCTCCTCCCCGAGGTATTGTTGCAAATCCTCCTTCCTTCCCCCTAGCCTCCGCCTGCGGGCGCCTCGGGAACCCCCAGCCCTCCCCGGGCGCGAGCGCCTCTGGGGCGGCATGAGTGCGGGGCGCAGAGCGCGGGGCGCGCGCGCTGCCGGGGCTGCCGGGCCGTGGTGCGGAAGTGCCGGCCGCGGCCCAATCACGGGGTGCGCGCCATGGGGGGAGGGGGGTCCAGAGTTTTTGGGGAAAGCGTCGACCCTAGGCTGGGCGGGGTTGGAGTCTTTCCCCGCGCGCCCCCTGCCTGGGCTTTTCTGGGCGCCCAGGGGGCGGGGCCACGCCCAGCCGCTCGCTCGGAGCTTTCGCGGAATCCCGGTTGTCACAGTCGAAAGGGCCTAGGGATCCAGACATCCAAGTCCCCCATTTTACAGTCGGGAGGACTGAGGCCCAGGGGGCAGGAGGGCCTTCCCCGAAGTCATTTACTGCGGGCCGAGCCATAACGACTATGGCCGGCCCCCAGCTCCTGGTCCCTTCTCCAAGCATTTTTGGAGTAGCCCCTCGGTGGCAGGGCAGTGCTGGGGGTGCTGGGCCTAGACCTGGCCTTCAGGGATTGCTGAGCTTATCCCAGAAGCCCAATCTGACCGCAGGTGGGAGGTGCAGCTGCCTGGGGAAAGGCGTGGATAGGTTTTAGGCGAGCTGGGGGAAGGAATTTGATTTTCTCTCTCAAACTTGGGAGAGATGCAGGGTAGCCCCTTTGGACGGGGCTGTATTGGATCAGGGCTTTTGAAGGATGGGGAGTTATCTGACGCCCCCGGTGGCACCGAGAAAGGCCCTCGGGGATAAGGGACAGCAGACCAGAGGGGACCACAGTCTGTGGGCAGTGGAGATGGAACTGGAAATGTTAGTTTGAGGCCTGGCCGGAAGGGGGAGTGGGCTATTCCCTGGAAGTGTGCAGGAGTTCTGGGGTAGGGCGGGGTCTTTGCCTCCCTGGGGTCCTAGGGCCACTGCAAAGGCTCTCTGGCTTCTCTTCCCTGCAAGGCATCAGCGGCTGTTTCTCCTGCCTCACAGAACAGTTACCAAAACTCGTGGCCATCACTGAGCCACTTTCCTCATACCAGACATGGTTAACAGAAAGTTTCCAACTCACTTTCTCTCTCAAGCCTTTTCTCCTCTTTCTAAGTTTCTTGCTTCCTCAATAAAACTCGTTTTCACTAAGGTGTTAGTGACTTTCTGCCCCCCACCCCGCCCTCCCCGCCATGTGCTTTTAAGAAAGTTTTAAAGAACTGAAGGGAGAGTGTGTGGCTAGGGGTGCCTTTGGAAAGCAGATCTCCGCCCCTCCCATCCTTAACTCCCTCTGTTTTCCAGATCCAGAGCAGTGCAGCCCTAGAAACTAGTGCGTAACAGTGGGGCAGGGGCCAGAGCACCCAGCAGGGTTTTTACCCCAACACCGAGGCCTTGACAGGCCAGAACAGGGCTGGAGTGCGGAACCTCCAGGCCACAGGACATAAAAGCCTCACGACATCATTTGGTCTGGCCCTGCCAAAGCCACTGCCGGCGGGACTCGAAGTTCAATAAATCTGCAGCAGGCTGATTTTTAGGTTGATCATTTTGTATGGCCTGAGAATGATGTTATAAATACCCAGAAAAAAGGTTCTCCATCCTGGTCTTGAGTGTAGACTGCAGATGGGATTTGCCGTATGAGTGGAAGGGTGGCAAGCCTGTGGCCTTTGCGTCAGGCAATCCTCCAGGGTCAGGTTTCCTGTAAACAGCTGGAGCCTAGAGTTGGCTTCGGGGCCAGGCAGTGGGCGGAGGAGCTGACTGGCTCCGCTGGGACCAGCCTTTCTTAGAGTGACACAGTCTGATGGAAAGGCAGGCCTTCGCAGGCAGTGGTGGGTGGCAGAGGAGACCTGATTACAAAGGGCCTTAAAAATCCCAGGTGACAAAGTTTGGTCCTGACTTGAAGTCCTCATTGGAGCGTGCTGAGCAGGCTGGGACCTGAGGGGAGGCACTGGCCTTGGGAAGCCTCCTGCTGCCCAGTTCCAGCGGGAGAGGCAATGATTTGGCCCTGCGAGTATTGTCAGTGAGTGTTTGCTCATTTCCATGACTTATGTTACGGAGTGCCTGTTATGTGCCATTGGCGAATATGAAAATTTTATAGCACGCTGCTGTTTTTATTGAGACAAATAAATTGCAGTAAATCAATTTTAAAGCATTCTTTTTTCACATTTTCCTTTCACTGAAATCCACTTTCTTGTCATAATGGATGTGTGGTGGTAGAGCAGTTCTCTTTCACCCTAAGTTAACACAGTGGTTTAGATCTGATGAAAATGTATTAATCACGTTCTTTATGAACGTCCATTGTTTTGTGCTGTATAAAACACTTTCCCATCAGCTATTCCACTGGAATCTCAAAGATCTCAGGGCTGGGAAGCCCGGGATTTGCTGGGACTGAAACAGAGCAGTGGGGTAGAAGATGGCGGGTAACATGGCAAAGCCAGAAAGCCAGAAGAAGGGAAACGGAGTGCATGAAACACCTTCTGGATCCCGCTTATGCAAGACTAGCTAGGCTCTGGGAGCGCAAAGACGAGGAAGACTCCTGGAGGAGCACACGTGTGGGTGTGGGGGGGCGGGGGGGCGGGGTCAGCAGATGAAGTGCTTGAGGTATGTTTTGACTGCTCTGCCCTGAGGAGGGTCGTCATCCTCAGGGAAGCCGTCGTAGAGGTGGCAGTGTCAGAATGGAGTCTTGCGGCCCAGGCAGGAATTGCCCAAGCGGGAGGGAGGATCTGCAGGTGCAGGGAAGAAGGTGGCTTATTCTCAAGGCTGAGGTATGAATGCGGGCTTGGAGGGGGCTCTGGGAAGTGGAGAAGGGCAGAGCTTTCGTCCTTCTGGTAAGTAAGGTGTAAGCTTATCTTGGGCTCCAGGGGCCGACAAATGGTTCGGTGGAGACCGACTGGAGAGCGAAGCTGGGCAGGGCTCTGCACCATCTCTGGGATTATGTATTTGGATGGTCACAAGCTACAGTGCTTCCTGCTAGCTGAGTGAACCTGAGACTTTGACCCAGGGCAGCAATTAGGTGCTCAGAGCTGAGTGTGTCCGCAGTGGGTAGGGACTTTTTCTGGGTTGTGCCCTGCTGGAGGTGGGCAAGGCGGCATGAAGCTGGTGTCTGGGTGGAAATCCATGGATGTGCAGGTGCACAGGAGGTACACGACACGCGGGTAAAGGGGAGGGGGAAGGGATGGCAGTGTTGTGGGATTCTGCCCGTAGGCCTGGAGGAAGGACTGCTGTGTTCCTAATGTAGATCACACAGATGAGATTGGGGGGTGAGTGCGTGGCTGGAGGGCTAAGGGGTTGAATGCTTGGAAGCAGGTAGACCAGAGTTGAGGCTAGAAAATGTTTATCTTCTCATTCTCTCCTAATAATACAATTTTTAAAAAATTTAAAATACTTGTGTAATTATCATATTGATTCATTGAGGCAGGTTTGAGGATTGTAACTTTTGTTTTGCAGATGAGAGAATGACAAGTGAAATAAGGTTCACAACTTAGTGACATGGTGTAGTTTGGGACCTTTGTCTGATCTGGAGCCTTCTCACCTTTCTTTTCTGTGTTTGCAAGCACAGGAAGTTGAAATCCACTGTGTTCTTTGGCATCCTTCCCTGGAATTTCATTCAGCACACATTCCTTGCATCCCAATGGGATGAGAGTTGAGGGCTCACCTGGGTGAGCAGCCTGCTGTGTTCCACAAGGGAGCTGCCCTTGACCTCTGTTTTCTCCGAAGAGGCTGCCATTCCCTCCGCCTTAGGGTTTCTACTCTCTCCAGACCTAACTGGAGAAGCCCCAGCGCCTGTCAGCCCCGCCTCTCTCTCCATCCCCCTGTGGCAGTAAGCATTTGCTGGGCATCTGCAGACAGGCCGTCGGAGTGGTCAAGTAACCAGGTGATCAGCAATGAAGGGCGTGGGTCTCAGGCATTGCCCTTAACGTGGGGGCTTCTCTGGAGTTGAACCAAACAGCTCCTGTTGGATCCTGCCTTACCCTCAAGACTCAGAGAGATCCCTAGGGGCCTTCCTGTCACCTGCCTGCCTCAGGTGGGCCTTTGCATTTTGATAACTTGCAGATAAAGGCATGATGAGCTGCCTGTTTTCTGGTGAGAGGACATGGCCCCCAGGAATGGCACCTGGAGAAAGGACCAAGAGCTTGCGCTCTCGTCTTGAATCCTTGCCTCTCATCTCCGATGCCTTGAAGATGTTCAGTAGCCGTTTGCTGAGTGGATGAACAGCGTCTGTTGACACAATATAAGCGTGAATCACCACTTCACCTTAGCTACGCGCTTGTCTGCCTCGCTTCCACTTTAGAATAAGCTTCTTGAGGATGCTAATGCTGTCTCCTTTCTTGATGTCCGCATTCCCAATGCACATGAGTGTGCCCGACCCATGAGAGGCCTCCGGCAGTTCTTGCTGGATGAAGATAGGAAGTTCACTGCAACCAGGGACAGCAGTCACGGGGGAGGGGGACTGTTTTTCTGACCTCACCTCAGGAGCCTAAGGAGCCCCAGCACTGGCCTGAGAATCACCTGTGCTGAAGTTGTGCCCATGAGGTGAAGGCTGGGGAACCGAGGGACCAAGGAGTGGAGAGTTGCTAGGTCAGTGATGCTGAGAGCGATTGCACCTGCTGCTGCTCTAAAACTTTCCCCTCCCATAGCTGGTGGTTCTGCTGGCCTTGACCATTCCTGTTTCCTTAACCCATGCCTTTACCTATGCTGCTTCCTCCACCTGGGTATCTGCCTATTGTAAGCCTATAATCCTCTAAGATTGAGATCAGGG